GGCCTTTCTCATTGACTCTGACATATACCTCTCAAGTTTGTTTTCTGTGGGTGAAGATCACAGACGAAAATATTCCCTAGGGGCCCCAGAACATGTAGATGGATAGAAAATTCCAGAAGGTTTGGGGTGATGGGTCCAGACTCTGTGAAACCTCTGGAACATTCCATGCAACTCCAAACAGGGCAGTCAATAAAATTTATTAACCATCCAACTCTGAGCCTCTTCTTAGGCCTAGAACTAGGCTCCCCCCACCCCACCCCCATTCTCTCTAGTGCCAGCTTGCCTGTTGGGGTTTTTTAGGCCAGAGCTGAACTCAGACACCACTCCCTACTATCCCTGAAACGGTCTGGGCTCATCATGGGCGAGGAGGTGTGTGGGAGGGTTTCTGAAGGACCCTCCCGGTGCTCGTTCCTTTACACCATTTCTCTTCCCCCGCCCCCACCCGGCGTCTGTCCATTCTCAGCTTCTTATCTGCCCTCGGGAGGAGAGGCTGAACCAGGCCATGGACATTAGCCCCTGTCTTTCAGGGGCTGCTCCTGTGTTCCTGAGACATGGTCAGCTTTAGTCCCTTTTCTCCTTTTGGTCACAAACTAAAAAGTAGAAGTTTGAACTGAGGAAGAGAGACTGGGACAAGAGGGGTCCAGCTTGCTTCAGGCTGCGCTCATTGGGGTGGGCAAGGGGTGTCATTCAGTACCAGGCCCAGTGAGATGCACGCAGAGATCCTAAATGGAGAGACTGAACGAGAAGACCAGAATCAAAGGTGTGCGTGTCTAGGCAATTGTGATATTGCCTTTGGGCTTAATCAGGACTTTATTCCTCCTGAGCCAAACTTTTCCCCTCCGTTGTCCTGTGAAAAGATCCTTTACACATCCCAGTGCTAAAGGAGTAAGATTTCTTGCTTCCCTCTGAAGTTCTGGCATTTCTTTCTCTGGGGGCACCTTGCCTTCTGTAATGGTCCCAGCATGAGCCAAGATGAAGAATAGCCTACCTTAGGCCAGCGAGTTGTCCGTTGGTCATCACTGACCCTGTATATATCTCCATCCCTTATAGCCACAGCCTGAAGCTGAGACACCAAGGGTGGAGCCCAAGTGAGTGGCCACCACACCCACTTTGGGGAAAATGGCGAGGAGGAGGGGTCTTGTCTCGGGCCTTTGGGCGTCCTGGAAAGTCATCAGATCCCGTGAAGAGAGGCTGAGAGAAGGGAAGCCGGTAAGTGGCAGGGTTACTTCAGTCCCCTCTTGGAGTCCAATGTTCTCTTGTAGCCTTTGCCCCGTCGGCTCCTCCGCCCTGTGATGGATGTGGTCACCTTATCACCTGCCTCTGAGCGGGACTGTGGAATGCCCGCCTCATCTGCCTTCAGTGGCCTGGCTCTCAGCCAGCCTTGGAGCCTTGGCGGCCATGGGGTTTGTGCAAAGCAGCTGAGGGTCCCTTTGTTAGTTTTAGGATGATAGCAATACCTGAGTCTGGATGTCATGCACTTGTGTATGCCGGGGGTGCTCAGCGTGCTTATCCCCCAGAAGCACCCCTTCACCATCGGTCGTAAGATTATAGTATCACGATGGATCCAGCCATCTCACCAGTGTCTCTTAAGGCTGTCTCAACTTGGGGCCCGGTCGCTAGTCTTGAGAGAGGTCAGCCCTCCCATTGTGCCTTTGTCCCTTCAGCGTTCACACTCTTGGTCCTGGGAGGGGCTGCCACTAGACCAAAGAAGGCCTGTTTCAGGAGAACCAAGAACTGACCCAGATTTGTGTTTCACAGGCCACAGCCAACCTGCACATAGCGTTTGGTTGTGGCTGGCACGGTGTCTTAACTTTAGCCAACTTTAAGAACTTGGGAGACTTTGCATAAAAACCTAGATTTCTAACTTCGCTCCAAAAAATGAGAAAATGCCACCATTAAGCTTCCTCCCATACCTGCATGACGGCCTGGGAAAAGCTGTCATGTCTGCCTTGTAGATAAGTCCTTCCTCCCCAGGCTGCTGCACTCTGACCAGCAAAGGGGATGTGTCAGAAGCCATAATGCACACACTTGCACCATTTCGCTCCTAGTAAAGAAATCTCTCTGTATTCCATGTCTATAAAGAGGGAAAACAGACAGAAGGGGGTCTCGTATTTCCAGGAAAATAGTGGAGGTGTACTTTGTGGAAATGGAGCTGTTTGGCACTGTGACCTTCCTGGCCCCTCCAGGCGTTTGAGGTCGCAGATCCCTAGATAACCTCCTGTGTTCTAAGATCTCACACTTTGACTGGGAGGCAGAGTGTAAATCTTATTTTCTGTGGAACAAGAAGAATCTCTTGAGAGGCCTATCACAGGGTCAAGGTCCCAGACAAAGCCAGAGGTCCCTTGGTACAATAATGCCATTCCCGCACTTGATCTTTCATGTAAAATCCTTGTATAAATTGGGATAAACCCTCAGCTAGTCCAACTTGGTCTCTCTGAAACCACTGGATTCTCTCTAGCCTTGGAGGTCAGGGCAGTTTCTTAGCCATGGCTTTGCAGTGACCACACAATTCAGGGGTAAAGATTTGAGCTCACTGTGGGTCAGGCCTGATTAGCTCAGTGAGCCTTGATTCACACACGCACAGACGTGAAGTTACATGCAGTGTTTCATACTTGGAAGACAAAGTAGGAGGCTTAAGAAAGGACACAGAAGCTAGTGATTTCCAAGCAAGGAGATGCACATAACAGACTTCTGAGGGACAGGAACATATTGTTTATAAAAAAGGGGTGGGAGTTTTGTTACTGGGGCGATTTGGGGGTTTTGGTTTGTAAATGCACCGGTGGTCTGTAATAGAGCTTTTGTCATGGGCCTCTTGATGTAGCCCTTCAAGTTTATTCTCTCTCACAGAGGATTACAGCCAAGAACATTCCCTGGTACCCCAGAACCTAGAAAGTTCTGGAAGTGATCTGGCAGGAGAGCCCAGACTGGAACTTTCCAGAACATTCCATTTTCCTTCAAGCAGAGAGGCTAATAAAGCTTATTAACCATCCAACTCTAAGCCTTTCCCGTGGCCCAGAACTAGGTCCACTCCACTCTGGCAGCATCTGTACCCACCTCCCTCAGGTCTTTGGTCTTTTTCTTGCTGGGGCTGAATCCTGAGGGGCGTCACTCCCTGTGCTCTCTGAAACTGAGCTCTTTGGGGAAGGGGAGGGGTGTGGAAGGCCTTTTGAAGGCCCCCCACCTGGTTCCCATGGTAACACTCTTCTCCCTTTCTAGTCCCACCCTTGCCAGGTCATTCCTCTTACCTGCCCTGGGGAGGGGAGGCTGAACCCGACTGTGGACTTGAGCCTCTGCCCAGCTCACAATAGTGGAGGGAGGCTCAGGCATCCCCATCCTTAGCTCTTCTTCCTGTGGTTACAAACCTGGAAAAACACCCTGGAAGCACTGGCCAGGATCGGGAGGGCAGGGTGAGAGGGGTTCAGCCTGCCCCAGGCCGTGCTGAGAATGCAGACGTTCTTCCAAGGCTGCTCGGTCTTCTGTCTGTTGTCTGAGGGAGGAACTAGGTGTCCTCTTGGCACCCCTCACCGCCAGCAGCTCAAGTACTAGCAGGGAGGAGCAGGAGAACCGAGGCCACCATGGGACGGAGCATCTCCAGTGGGCACTGGCAGGGCTTTGCCCTGCTGGGAGGGATCTGACTGGACTTGAGGGGCTGTCAGAAGCTCAATGGGCCAGTCCGTCTAACTATTGCCTACATTTCTAAAGATCCCATCAGAGGAATTCCCTGGCAGTCCAGTGGTTAGGACTGTACACTTCCATTGCTGGGCACCTGGTTTCAATCCATGGTCATGGACTGAGATTCCCCGAGCTGCACCATGTAACCAAAAAAAAAAAAAAAACCCCAAAACAAAGTTATTAAAACACAAGATCCCATCAGGCAGTCAGTCAGGTGCTCCTCAGACAGCTTGAGGAATGGGGACCACTGCCTCTAGTAGCAGCCGTGATTCTAGAGCCTCATTCTAGCCTCGAAATCTGACTCCCTGTGGTTTCCACCCACTGGTCCTGACTCTGACCTCTGGCTCTATGTGAAGCAGCCCTTCAGTCTCAAAGGCTAGCCATCACCTCCCTGTATGTCAGATGGATCCCTCCGCTGTTCTGCAGGGGACTCGGTCCCAGTCCTTTTTTCTCGTTATCGTTACTCCAAAGGTGGGCTTCCCTCGTGGCTCCGACAGTAAAGAATCTGTCTGTGCGGCAGGAGACCTGGGTTCAGTCCCTAGGTTGGGAAGGTTCCCTGAGGGACGGCATGGCAACCCACTGCAGTATTCTTGCCTGGAGAATGCCATGGACAGAGATACCTCTTGGGCTGCAGTCCACGGGATTGCAAAGACCAGACACAGCTGGGCGACTGACACCCTCCCTTTATCAGAGGTGCCGCTGCTGTGGGGTTCCCTTAGAGTTTAAAACTTCAGCAAGAAGCAGAGCCAACCCAGCACTTGCCTCGGTCCGGACAGCTACTTCCCTACTAACATGGACCGAGGTCACAGTAGCTTCCACAGCACTCGGACTTCTCTCACTGCGAGGACCTTCCTGCCAGACTTAATCTCATCAAACTCGACCTCAGCTGATCCAAGACATGTTCCTGCTCTCCCATCTGCTTGTCCCACCACAGCCAAGCTGGAGACAGGTAGCTTCAGCCTTATAGAAGCCTCTCCATCACTCGGTGGGGGTGGGCATTTGACAGCCCAGGTGCCATCCTGATTGGGCCTACAGGGCACCCAGGAAAAGAGAGACCGGTAAGGCCCTTAGAGAACTGTGACGGGGCAGAGTGTGCTTCTGTCCAGAAGAGCTGGGAAGTGAAGAGTTAGAAAAGACTCTCTGGGGTTGGTAACCAGAGAAGGTTTCATGAAAGAGGCAGAAGCAGTGCTGGACCCAAAGGACAGCTGGGCTTTGGATGGGCAGAGAGGAAGGGAGGGCCTCTCACGAGTAGGCAGCTCAGGAGCTGAGATGAGGCTGCAGCAGCTGAGAGGCCGGGTGAGGGGTGAGAGAGGAGTCGGGCAGCATTGTCATCCTCATCATCACATTTATTGACGGCCCCTGGGAGGCGGGGCTGGGGACAGAACATACAAAGACAAGGACCTGCCCTCAAAAAGCTTCCATTCTAAGGAGACGGGACAGAAAAATACAGAATGGTCTTTCCAGGGGATGGCCCACTCTCACCCCTGCAGGTCAGAAGCCCCTGGCCTACCTCGCCCCAGGGTCTGGAGCCTGAGCGGGGCAGGTAGTAGCAGCCCCATGGCCGTGGTGTCCCTGCCCCCACCTCTGGGGCCTGACCCCCCGGCTCCTAGGTGGTGGACCCCAGCACTGGGGGAAAGGTAGGCTGAGGACATGATGGAAAACACTCCTGTCAGCCGTGGCATTGTGCGAGCCCAGTGGAGGGGCAGGGGCGGTAGGGCCCCCTAGGCAGGGCCCCTTGAGGGAAGCGGGCAACTTCCCAGGCCCCCATGAGTCAAGTTCTTGCACTGGGGCTGGCCCATCACCCGGGAGGCCCCAGCCGGGGAGAAAAAAAAAGGCAGAGATTCCTCAGCGCCAGAGGCATCAGACCCTGCCCACCCCACCCCCAGCCCTCTCTCTGGGCATCTCCCAGTGGACCCTCCTCCCCAGCTCAGCCTCCAGGGCCAGGGCCTGCCTAGGGCCAGGGGGAGGGGCCTGCCCCTCCCCCCACCCAGGCAGTGGGGGAGGAGGAGGAGCCACGCATCAAGTTTGTCTGGGCCCCCCATGGGGGGGCCATACCCTGGATCCTACCGGTGGGGGGGCTCTGGCTGCGAGGGCCGAGGGCTCAGCAGAGGGGCTGGGCCCAGGGGGCACCCGGGGGAGCCCTTCAGTGGGGGCACTGGGCGGGAGTCCAAGGGGGGCAAGCTCCGGGGCACTGCCGGCGGCCCCCGGGCAGCCCCAGTGGGCAGGACTGCAGCAGCGGGGAAGGACTTGGGGGGCTCTGCGGCAGCCGTGGGGGCCGGCTGCCCCGACCGCTCCCGGCGCCGCAGCAGCTCCTGCAGCTTCTCCGCCTGGGTCCGCCTCAGGTGGGCCAGGGCCCGGCCTCGCTGGAAGGCGGGCAGGAAGGCCTCCAGGCTCTGCTCCCCCAGCAGCAGCTGCTCCATCTGCTCCTGGGACAGGGCGGAAGGGACAGTTTAGGAGGACCACGACCGAAGGCTCAGGGCTGGTCCTCTCAGCCCCATCCTGAATGCCTCTCGATCACCACCCCCGCCCCAGTCGGGGATGGGGCACTGAGTTCTAGCCTCGCCTGCCCCTCGCTGAGTGACTGTGGACCAAGTCCTCTCAAGCCTTGATTTCCTCACGATCACCAGACCTGCTGGGGCAGGGATGAGGGGGTCCAGAGATGAGGACACACCTGAAGTGCACAGGTGTCCATCTCCTCCAGGCCAGGGCCCTCCGCCTCCACCCCTCCACACGCTGAGCACAGTGCTCCCACCCACCATGCTGGGACGACTGCCCCAGCTCCTCTGTGGCCCCAGCCTAAGCTGCCTGGAGACAGTCACAGGAAGCCGGGGGAAAGTCACAGGTGGGGACGGTGGGCCTGTGTCCAGTGCGGACAGCAATTCAGCGGGCCCTCCTGGGGCCCAGGCACTCAGGGCAGGCTTCCTGGAAGAGGGGCCCTCACGCCTGCAATGTAAGAATCAAGGGGAGGGGACGATGATAGGTTGAGCTCCCCCTCGGAGTTCCCAGGCCCAGCCACCCGCTCCTCTCACCTCAGCCTCCTGCTCAGCTTCTTCCAGCTCAGCCTGCAGCCAGCCCAGCGCGCAGTGGGGGCTCCAGCGGTGCATGCTCTCCTCTGAGGGCCGCAGAGGGACGCAGTGAATAGCCCCTGCCCTCAGGGCCTGTCACCCTGGACAGACAGGCCGGAGCCCCGGGGCCCGCTGCTGACTCTCTCCCTGACCGTCTGTATGACTCTACGCTTTCCCTCCCCTCTCTGGAGCCTCAGTTTCCTCACCTGCACAACACCCCATGGCATCAGTTTGTGTGCCCACACCCTCCCATCCTAGTGCAAAAGGGGAAGCAGGGGCTCTGTCTCCCAGAGCACCCCAGGCCCTTGGGCAGCGGGTCCCCTCTTCTCCCAGGGCCCCATTCTGGCCTCTCCAACCCAGCTCTACTCACCAACTGCTCACTTTCCCAACTTGGGAATTGCCCAGGAGTAGCACCCCTGCAAACTTGCCCGAAGAAGAGATGCGCCCAAGTTCCCCAGCCTTCAGAGCCAGGCACTGAAGCCCCCCCCCCCCCCCCCCCCNCCCCCCCCCCCCCGCTCCCCGGGCAGTTCTCCTGGCCGTCCCTCACCCAGGCGCTGCAGCTTGTCTGCACAGCTCTCGGCCACCTCCCGGAGCTCCTGGTACTTGATGGCCAGGGCAGTGCGGCCCATCTCCAGGCGGGGACGCAGCGCCAGATTCTCCTTGGCTAGCGCGTAGTTAGAAGCCAGGCATGCCTCGCGCTCCAGCTGCAGGCCTTGGAACTGCCGGCGGGGAAGAGCCCAGAGGCCCATTCAGGGACTCTCCCCACGGCCGCCGGCCGCCACCCCCACCCAGGCGGCAGTGCCCCCGGGCCAAGCCGAAGGCGTCCAAACCTCAGGATGGCGAGCCAACAGGTGGAGGAGCTGGGAGAGCCCAGACCCCACTTTGCCTCGGTTTCCTAGTCCACAAAGTGAGCTAAAAACGGCTCCCTTATAGGGTTGTTGGGAGACTGAAGTGAGGAAAACTATGAAGGTCTCTACAAATGTTAGTTAATTTTTAATTTTTCAATTAATATGTCTGCTCAGGTCCCCAAGGAGCCCCCCTCCCTCCTCTGTCCCATTTTCCATGCATGGGCAGCTTCCCCCTCATCCCAGGCCTTTGTCTGCTTCCTCTTCAGGTGTTTGTGCTGAAAACACTCCCCATCCCCTGCTCCGACTCTCCAGAGTGAGGTGTTCACCCTGTCCCTGTCTGGCACCCCCCCTCACACACACACACCCCCCTCGCACCCCTCCTCTGCCCTCCAGTGGAATCCCCACACCCCAAGGAATACACACCCCCTTTTCCTCCCCGATCCCCTAGCACCTGCTCCCAGCTCTCCTTCTCTTGCGGATAGCAGACCCCTTTCTTTCCTGGCCCTGGAGAAGGCTTTTTCCTTCTGTTACTAGGCGGGCCAAGCCTCCCCTCCCTGCCCCTGGAGAACGCACTACCCTCCATCTGTCCCCTATAGGATGCACATGGCCCTCCCGCCTGCCTCCCTCCAATGTACACTTTCCCTTTCCGCCCCCCACAGACAACCAGCCCGGGCCTATCTCCTGTGAAATATACAACTTTCTCTCATGGTGGCCTATGGAACACACACCTCAGCTTTCAGTACCCCTCCCCAACGGAAAACACAAAGCCCCCTCTTGCACCCCCAGCATACGGACACCCTCCCAACGGTCCCCCCAGGTGTCAAACAGGCCCCTAGTTCTCCCTGTGGAAGGCGCCTCCCCTTTCTGGCCCTACAGAACGTGGGTGTGCGAGCCAGGGCCCCCCACAACACAGCCGCCCCCCGGAACACACCTCCCTGGAGCATCCGCCGTAGGACACGCCTCGCGGCCATCCCGGGGGTGCACGGGCGCCTCCCTGGGTCTCCGGCGCGCCCCACCCGCCCCAGGCCACCTCCGGGCGCCCCCTCCCCCGGGGGCGGCTCCCTTCCCACCCCGGTGGCGCCGCGCCTCCCACACCCGCGGATCGCCTGGCAACCCATCATCCTTCCGCCGTCTGGATCTCTAGGGCCGCCTCTCTCCGCTCCCCTTCTCTCGGCCTTCAGTCACCACGCCCCCAGGCACGGACTCTCCCATCCCAGGCGTTTACAGGTTGCAAGGCTGTTTCACATTTACCCCTTGAATTCGCACAATTTTCTGAATTTGTCCAGGCTCCAGGAGTCCCTGTGCTCCTGATAACTTGGCTAAGTCATTCACCACCCCCAGCCTCAGTTTTCCCTTCTACAAAATGGGGTAATGATACACTAAGTGAGGATAAGAGGCAGTGAATGTTGAGTCCCTTGTTGTTTTAGTCGCTAAGTCCTGTCGGACTTTTTGGCGAAGCCATAGACTGTAACCCGCCAGGCTCTTCAGTCCATGGGATTTCTCAGGCAAGAATACTGGAGTGGGTTGCCATTTCCTTCTCCAAGGGATCTTCCCAAGCCAGGGATCAAACCCTCGCCTCCTGCTTTGGCAGGTGGATTCCTTACCACTGAGCCACCAGGAAAGCCCGTAGAGTCTCTTACCTGTAGTTAAATGACTACCTGATATGAATTATTGTTATTTCAGAGATGAGGATACAGATTCTCAGAGATCGTGTCACCTGCCCAAAATCACGTTCCAGGTAAAGGACAGACAATCTCAGTTCTTCCTGTATAGGCAGGTCTTCAATCCAGCCGGAGGACAGATGGCATGCTGGAGATGTCTGAGAAAGAGACAGAACTGATGGAATGGGGCGGGACAAGCTTGCTGATGCACTGTGAAGGCAACGCTTTGTCCACATTTTTCAAAACATTTATTTTTATTTATTTATTTGACTGTGTTGGGTCTTACTTGCCACATGTGGGATCTTTTTTTGTTGTGGCATGTGGAAGCTAGTTCCTTAACCAGGGATTGAGCCTGGACCACCTGCATTGGGAGTGCAGTCTTAGCCACTGGACCACCAGGGGAGTCCCCTTCTCCCACATTTTTATGATAACTGAAATTGGTTTTCCTTTTCCAGACTTAGTTGGAACATCGCCTCCTCCAGGAAACCCTCTTTACCTCCCCAGGCCACGTTGTGTGCCTGCTGTCCCTCCATCAGGGTCCTGGGTATTATCAAGAGCCCTTCCACATTTCCCAGCTTCCTGGTTATGAGCTCCTTGGTTCTGCTGTGCATCCTCCAGACCCACTATTTCCACCGTTCTTCCAGGGGTCTCCTAGACATTCCCTCCTGTCTGGCCCACCTTTGGCCCCTCCTCCAGGCTTTTTTCACCTTGGTGAGATCTGATGGGAGCTCTTCCCCCAGCTTGTCCCTCTTCGTCACCAACCCCTGTTTGTTGTATACCCGCCCCAATACCCTTCCTTCCCCCTCATCTCAGGAAGAGAAACCTCCCCTCATTCCAAAGCCAATTAAGTACCCTTGCTATGGGTCTCACCTTCACCTGCCTCCTCTGAGAGGCTTCCCCCACTGTGGTTAGTTATGTCTCTCTCTTTTAAAAAAAAAATATTTATTTACTTATTTAGTTGGCTGCATCAGGTCTTAGTTGGAATGGGTGGAATCTTTGTTGCTACAGCACAGTCTTTCATTGCAGTGCACAGACTCTAGTTGTTGCATGAAGGCTCAGTACTTGGGGCACGCTGAGTTGCTCCAAGGTATGTGGAATCTTAGCTCCTGGACCTGGGATCCGACCTGTGTCCCCTGCATAGCAAGACGGATTCTTTTTTTAATTTATATGTTTACAAAATATTTATTGCTGGTCTTAGATGTGGCATACACGATATACAATCTTTCAGTTGCGGTATTTGAACTCTTAGTTGTGGCATGCGGGACCTAGTTCCCTGACCAGGGATTGAACCCCGGGCCCCCTGCATTGGGAGTGTGAAGTCTAAGCCACTGGATCACCAGGAAGTTCATATGTCTCTTTCTTCTTCTGTCTCTTTCATGTTTAATTTCTGCCTTTAGACTGATACCTCCCTTTCACCCCCACCCAATATTTTGAAAGTACCTGGTTATGAACTGAGTGTGTGTGCTCAGTCGTGTCCAACTCTGTGCGACCCCATGGACTGTAGCCTGCCAGGCTCCTCTGTCCATGGGATTTCCCAGGCAAGAATACTGGAGTGGGTTGCCATTTCCTTCTCTCTATGAACTGAGTACCCCTCCCCCCCCCCCAGTTGATATTTTGAAATCCTAGCCTCCAATGTGATATTTGGAGGTGGGGTTTTGGGAGGTAAGTTTAGATGAGGTCATAAGAGTGGGTTCCCATGATGGGATTAGTGTCCTTCTAAGAAGAGGAAAAGAGACCAAAGTTTTTTCTGTCTCCACCATATGAGGTCACAGTTAGAAGGCCACCGTCCGCAAATCAGGAAAAGAACCCTTACCAGAAGCCAAATCTGCCGGCACCTTGATGTTGGGCTTCCCAGCCCCCAGAATTATGAGAGATAGGTATCTTTTGTTTCAGCCACATGGCGTGTGGTATTTTGTTGTGACAGTCCAAGCCGACTAACATACCGTCGACACCCTGCACTCCGTGCATCCGTTTCCTCATCAGCATGCGTGTGTGCTCAGTTGTGTCCACCCCTTTGCAACCCCATGGATTGTATCCCGCCAGGTTCCTCTGTCCGTGGACTTCTCCAGGCAAGAAAACTGGAGTGGGTTGCTATTTCCTGCTCCAGGGGATCTTCCCCATCTAGGGACTGATGCCATGCCTCCTGCATCAGCAGGTGGATTCTTTACCACTGAGCCAGCTGAGCAGCCCACATTTCCTCATACCTCCCCTTATTCCTTGACTCAGTCTGACTTCACCCCACCACCACTTCAAGGGCACAGACTGCTTCTGACTTCCAGAGCCCTTCTTTCTCACATTCAACACCATCGACCACCATCTCTTTCTTGACCACATAGCAGTCAGAGTCCAGACATTTCCCAAGTGTTAAGTTGGCAAAAATTAAAAAGTCAGGTAATATCAAGTGTTGGTGAGGTTGGGAAGTGACAGGAATGCTTACATACTGCTAGTGGGAGAGAGAATCAATTCACTGGAGAGCAATTTGACAAACTCATAAAGAACATTCAATGTGCAGTGGACAGAGTAATAGACCCCAAAGTTAGCCACGTCCTCGTCCCTGGGACCTGTGGATATGTCACCTTCCATGGTGAAAAGAACTTTGCAGCTGTGATTAAATCAATGATCTTGTGATGCAGAGAGTATGCTGGATCACCCAGGTGGGCTCAGAGTAATCAGAGTGGTTCTTAGAAGGGGGTAGGCAGGAAGGTCAGAATCAGAGAAGATACAATAAAATTGGAGTGTCGGAGTCACTGAGAAACTTGAAGACAGTATGTTGCTGGCTTTGAAGACAGAGGAAGAAGCTACAAGCAGGCAGCCTCTGGAAACTGGAAAAGGCAAGGAAGTGGGTTCTCCCTGAGAGATGCTAGAGGGGGTGCACCCCTGCCAATATCTTGACTTCAGTCCAGGGAAACCCATTACAGACTCCTGACATCCGGACTGTAAGAGAATACGTCTGTGTTGTTGGGACTACCCTGATGGTTCAGTGGTTGGGACTCTCTGCTCCCACTGCAGGGGGCCCAGGTTTGATCCCTGGTCAGGGAACTAGATCCCACATGCCACAGCTAAGAGTTCACATGCTGCAACTTACTTCCTGCATGCCAAAACGAAGATTCAAGATCTCACATTCTGCAACTAAGACCCAGGACAGCCAAATAAATAATGAATAAAGAAATAATGTGTGTAGTTTTAAGGCACAAATTTGGCAATTTGTTATAGTAGCAATAAGCAGCTAATACAGACTTCTCGGAACGTTCCCTGCCTTGGACCAGAAGACAAGAACAGGAATGTTTGCGGTGACTCTATTTGTAATAACAAGAAACTAGAAAAAGCCCAAATGTCCAGGGCAATGGAACACTTCATACTACACACCGAAATGGGCAGATTGCAGCTACATATGTCAATTTGGTTGGATCTTACAAACAATACGGAGAATAAAGGCAGCAGTCTCAGAAGAGTACATTCAGTATAATAATGTTTATGTAAAGTTTAGAAACATGCAGAGCCATACTTCATATTGTTTGGAGATATATACAAAGTACAGGAACAATAAATAGCAAATTCAGCAGTGTGGCGGTCTGGCAGAAGAGGGGTGGAATCGAGGAGGCAACAGAAACAACTTCAATGGCTTTAAGAGGTAGTTCAGGGGTTTCCCTGGCAGTCCAGTGGTTAAGACTCCATGCTGCCAATGCAGGCGCTGTGGGTTCAATCCATGGTAGGGCACTAAGATCCCCAAAGTTTTTTTTTAAATTAGAATTAAAGAGATAGTTCAGTTTCTTAGGCTGAGTGTGGGTACACACAGGTGCATACTTTGGGGTAAGCCTGAAATTTGTTGTATAAAATTGGAGGTTCAGAGGTAAAGAATTCACGTGCCAATCCAGGAGATGCAGGAGACACAGGTTTGATCCCTGGGTCAGGAAGATCCCCTGGAGAGAGAATGGCAACCCACTCCAGTATTCTTGCCTGGAAAATCCCATGAACAGTGGAGCCTGGTGGGCCATAGTCCATGGGGTTGCAGAGTCAGATGTGCTTGAGCGACTGAGCACACACACTCACCCAATAATTTTAAGGGTATATTTTTAGACCTTAGCTTTGAAGTCAGACAGACCTGGGTCCCCTTCTGAGCTCTGCCACTTCCTATGTGACCAAGAGCAAATTCCTCAATTCCCAGAGTCTCAATGATTCCATCTGTGAGATGGGTGGTTGAAGAATTCAGTGACTTGATATGTGTCCAGCACAATGACTGCCACTTCATCGTGCTCCAGAAACAGCAGCTGCAGTGGGTTCCTCTGTCTCGAAACGACCCCTTGGATTTAATTTATGGAGCACCTCCTCTCCA